CACACACACACACACACACACACACACACACACACTAAATGTAAAAAAAAAATTTTTTTTAAAAAGTAGGTATATTCTTCCCACTGTGTTCCTAGTGCAAAGCAGCGAGTGTTTTCATTAAAGAACCCCAGGACGCTGCACAGCCAACCTGGTTTTCCACCCCTATTACACCCCCCAGGGCTGGAGAAACCCACTCCTCTGCCACCCAGAGGGATCCTTAGACCCAGACTCTGGAGAACCCCTGCTGGGTCCGGTGGGGGGGGGGGGCTGGGGGAGCCCAGCCAAGCTTAGGTTAGGAGGGGCCTTGGAGCCCTGCCCCCTCCTGGGGGACCCTAGAGGTCCCTGCTGAAATTCCCCAGGCCCTTTCAGGCTCCCTCTCTGGTCCTCACCATGGGCCCCAGGGTGGCCATGGGGCAGCTGTGTATGTATGCCTGAAGACAGGAGTGCAAATGGCCTTGGAGGTTTAGGCTCAGGCCTCACCAGAGGGAGCCAGGCAAACCTGGAGGGGCTGGGGACCCCACTGTGCACTCCCAGGCAGGCATCTGACGGCCCCCAGCCCTTCCTCCAATGCCACCCACTCAGATTGGCCAGAAGCCTAGAGTCCTGGTCTCATAGCTGAGCGGTGGCACACATCTCTGAGCTCAGCACCAGGGAGGCTGAGGCAGGTGATCGGCATGAGTTCAAGGCCAGCCTGGGCTACATAGTGAGTCCAAGGTCGGTCTGAGCTGTAGGGAGAGACCCTGTCTACAAACAGACAAAAAAACCAACCCCAAAAGAAAAATAAAATAAAACCCAGCCCTGCCTGGCTCACCTGGGAGGAGGGAGGGAACAGTGCTGACGTAAAGGGTTCCTCTAACTCCCTGCGAAGAGCCAGGCCTAGCTGACTCAGAGGGTGGAGTGACCCAGGGAACTCTCATCGCCCCAGGCACCCTGGGGACCTGTCCAGCCAGTTTCCCATCTGCCACTCTGTATTTAGTTTGTAGTTCTTGCCACGCAGAACCCTGAGGATGGCTGGGTCCTGACAGGGCAGCCCAAGAGAGAGGGCAATGGCAGCAAGGGCTAGAAAAGGGCGGCCCTTCCCAGATCCCCTCCATGGGCCTCAGTGTCCACCAGCTCTCAAGCGTGGGGGGTACGGGAGGGGCACCTTGGGGGTGGAAGGAACAGAGCACTGTGCACCACATGAGCCACCGGGCCAGCAAGAGGCTCTACACCCTGGAGACCTAGCGTAGCCACCTG